TGTGTAAAGCCGCGTGTCGTACCATGGGTCCAGCGATTTGCAAATTCGGCGCAGTGGACGCGCAGTCTTTGTGTGAGGACCATAAACATAAATAATGGGCGAGAATCGAGGTTTCGATGTAACAATGGACAACATGTACAAGTGTATAAGTGTAGACGATTGCTGTAATTTTCAAACATGCTCTAAAATATAGGTCTACTCTTTCACGTCCATATTTTCCCGTTTTTCTACAATAATTTTACCAATTTCGAATGTGTTGATTACGATTACTTATACCTTTTTGCTCTAAAATTCTTTCAGGTGGGATGCTGTAAATATTAAAACTCAGTCTGCAAAAAGCTATTTAGCTTAGACATTAACACAAAAACCTTCTCATCTCAAACTTACTGTTAATTAAAACTGTACAAATATCTACGTCCGATTCATTCTCAATATGTTGATTGTTACATATTTTCTCAAATGTATTGTGATTAAATCAACTTATTCTACACTTAAGATTTTTTTTGTGCTAAACTTTTTGATCTTAAATTTAATATTTTCTGCATTTTTTTTAAATATGTCATTTTCTCAATTTATGTTACTGTAATATACTAAAAGTAAGTTGATTGTCTTTAGATTTTCCCGATAAATTTCCCTTTGGTTTCCCATGGTTTAAAAGCAAATGTAACATCTGCCAAGATTTAAGTCCAACGACTTTACACGTAAAATCGTTGCAGAAAGCAGACTTTGTAGGACTTTTAGATAGAGACTAGACACTTTTTAATAACTTGCCTATTTAAAAAACCAAGAAACACAATCAGTAAAACTTCAAAGCATGGTGAACAGCGATTAACAATAAAAACGAAATAATAATCAATTCAAACATTCATCTTCAGACCTACACAAATTATCGACCGGCTTCTAGGTTATTATAATTAATTAATTGCCAGCTGCCAGTCAATAACCTATGTTTATTTGTCATTATTTCCAGCCGCTGGACACGTTTGTGTAATTAAGTAATGGGTTTGTAGAAATTACTATAGTTTACTGATTAGTAATAGCTTAGTTTATAGAATCACCGATTTATTCTCCCTCCTACTGTATTTGCCTTTTAGTAAAGAAGGTCATATAGATAAATAATGTTCCTATGAAATTTTACTTTCTCCTTCTTGTACATATAGCATACGGGTTAAGTATTATTGTCAACAAGTTTGGGTTTTTGGTAGAAATATTCGTTTTCCCTCAAATTGTTTTCGTCATACTGCAGCAAAAACAGCCGTTTTCAATGCACGCGTTACGGGTCTAAAGTATAGCATTTAGGGAGTAAAAATCATTTTTAGTTTATTTTTCAAAGGATGGGTTTTTTGGCCTCTGGGGACCTCAAAACGGAAAAGTAAATCGGTCCCGGGTCTTACCATGAGAACTGCGGTAATAGCTTATTCCCTATATGGAAAATTCGCTAAAACGCAGAAGAAAGTTGTATACTGTTACACTTTCGTCTTCACACTGTATATTAAATACGATTTACAGAGACGATTCTCTAAGAGATTATCTCTCAAACTGTTTATATACATCTCGGAAACCGCGGGAGTCAAGCCAGATAGATGACCAGATAATTATTGAAAACATTCCTCGAAAAAGATTAAGATTAGGCTTCAGAATTTGTTTGGAGCTCACTGCCAAAGGATAATTTGATGAGTGGAACAAAAAACCTCAAATTGATGTGGTTGAAAAAGTTGATTTATAACAGTTAAATATCAATTTATAATCCAAGCGGTATTAAAAATAATGGTGGTGTATTGTTAAATTTGATTGGAAAATTTACGTACGCAAGCTATTTCTTATTCGGCAACTAAATAAACAACGAAACAATTGTTTACAAAACAGCTGATTACAACAATGGTTCATGAAATAAACGTTCACTCTGAAAATAATCAAATCTCGGCTTCCAACATTACCAAACAAAATTCCCGTGTTTTCCGAAGTGTTGTCAAACTAATTTCGACCTTCAGGTATGCTACTTCTCTATAAATCTTGTTTGGAATACAACACAACTACGGCAGCAAACCAGTAGACCGCTTGTTTCAAGCGAAGGCCATGTTGTTATAAAGACCCCGGTAAATCTTTTTATGGGGTTTCCCCCTCCCTCGTAAGTTAAGGGGAGCCGAGACCAATTTGATACAGAATATCCTCTGAAAATATGGATGTCGTCTGTCTGTTCTACAAGACCTGCAAGCGAATTGGCTACTTACGACGAATTCTTGGAAAAGTTTCTTTTGTAATTTATGCAAATTTTCACACTGATTTCTTCGTTAAATGCTGTGTGTTTGATGTCTAGCAGTTTTGAGTAAAAAGTTTAATTGAGATTTATTGTATTAACGGATTTAAAATGAATCACACATGAAAAATGTCCTAGGTCTATTAAATCCGATGTTCAATAAATAAATATTTTTTATGATGGAAATTTTAAACCTTAAAAATCTTTTATAGTAAATAATTTACGCTAATTATTTTCCAAACACTTCATAGCTTGTCGTATATGGTTGTTTTATGTTATTATTAATTTCAATTTTTAAATGTAGTATTTTATGGTAAGCCTATGGATTAGATTTTAAACTAAATTACATCTAAACTTATTTTTCGCACTCCTGAAAAAGGTGTTATTGCTGGCATTGGTCAGAGAGAGTCTTGTAAATAAGTTTTCATTAAACTAATAATTATAACTTTTACTTGGAGTTACAAATCTTTAATATTTTTAAAGCAAATCCGTAGTTATTTTAACGTTTGGTCCCTCTTGTAGAATATTAAAAAACCTAATCTGAATATCCTATAACATAAAAAATTCTTCTTTAAACATCAAGAAGTTTTCCTCTAATTAGCTTGTTTCCTGTTTTTGCATAGTGCATGCATTTTGCGTGAACTGCATGGTTTGCTATGTATTATTTTGCACATGGTTTTAAATTGTTTTGTACATGGTTTGTTTTGATTGATTTTTACTCAGTTTTATTTTTTAACTCTTGATATTTATTTTATGCTTGTACACTGTTTGACATAGCCTGTCACAATATTGTTGATCAGCCAAATAAAATCATTGTATCAAGTTTTCCATAATAATAGCTTACTCACTGCCGACAATTTAGGCTACTGATAGCATTTAAACAAAAACTATTTTTTTTTTAATAGTAAATCGTTTTTATTCCGTGGACAGTTGTGTTAAGAATATGTTTAAAGATGTCGGTTGTAATTGTATTTTAAGATATATTTTTATTTAAATGTACACATGAATAATGAGATGTTTAATGTGTTTAAATTTAACTTTTTGAACAGGGGAAAACGAGAGTATTTTATAAACTAAACACTTTTCCCCGTACGATTTAGGGAGCAAGCGATTATTTTATAAAAGCTTTTTAGTCCACTGATTGAAAATTCAATTACCTGTAGTGAAGGTAATTGATATATTTTTGGGCTTCACTCATAGTAGTTTTAATTGTCTGCTATTTCAATAATAAACGCAAATAATGTTATTTCCAGGAAAATCATCATAGTTGCTTTTGTCAGAAACAAAATTATGGCTTCTACTCATAAAACATCGTTTTGGGCTTGTATTTGTCTATTTAGAATATAAATTTAAATTGAATAAACATTAAAAATTTTTGAAAATTTGAAACATTTTGACAAGTAAACATGCTTGTGTTGCACACACCAGGAGTGCTACTGTTTTCTTCACTGAGTTCAAGGGATTTATTCTTATCTATCTGATAAGAAAACCTACAACTATGTTTTAGTCTTGTTTGTCTGAACTAGTTCCGAACCAGTAGGACTAGCGAAAATTAATACAGCAACAAGTGTACAAAACTACTACAGTCAAATATCAATTTATTTCTTCGTCCTAAAAGTTTAAACTTCAGACTCTTTTCTGCAAAATTGTAGAATAAATTAAAATAGTGTTAGGATGTTATCCGTGGGGTTATTTCATTACAAAGAGTCTATGAGCGCTTACCAATACATTATCTTACACTTTCATTCATATTAGGCCTAAGTTACTGAAATATAAAATATCTGGTTGTTAGGAATACCTTCTTTAGTTAAATTAACCGTTCAGGTTGCTATTAGATCAAGGCATATCCTTCATAATTAATTACCTTACTAGTTCTTCTGTAGATCGGATCAACTTGGTTCCAAATTTACAACCACAATGATAAATTCATTATCTGCGAACGAAGAACGATTCCACATTTTTTTATACAATACAACTCTTCATAGTTTGTTTTTTTAAACATATTTACTTGCAATGGTATTTTATACTCAAAGATACGTTTTGAACACGTAGCTTGAAGTCACAAACGTTGGGAAATATTTCCTATAGGTAATTAACATTTTATTTTTATTACACCCGTAATGGTACTTTTAAGTTACTTTTCGCGTTGTCGATAGGTCACCATTATCCTGTAAAGTCTGTGGTAAAACCTATTTTGAAACCAGTTAACAAACCCAAGATTTATTCAACGTTTAAAATAGACCGACAATAAAATCTCCAACTGGTCATCTAAAATCTCACAGTATAGAAATACATAAAAAATACATTTGCGTTCATATTTCCATAAGCTTACTCTCACGCATCGTATGAAACTGCATAACACACTTTTAGCCAAACAAATTACATACAACCCTTTTATGTTTACCAAATATGCCTTGGTATATTGTCCGTACCATAGTAGAAATTATTTCGTATAATGAAACAAGGCTGAAGTCCTTAATTCACACCGACTTAGAAAACAACCTATTAACACCAAAACATTATTAACACTCACTGATAGGTTAACCAAATTAACAAAATTTAAAATACGTTACGTTTACCTTTGTTTACCCGAGCAAATTTATATAGTAAATCAGTTTCGACCGAAAATCCCCAGGAACATCAGTAACATATTTTGAAACTTTAACCACAAACTTTCATCGCACCTTTGTAAACTTTTTCAAAAACTTAAACCTATGAAAGTAATAACTTTTTAAAAACTTACCACCAGTTGGCATTGACACAGCGAAGAGCGAGTAGGATGAGTATAACAGCTACCCTTACTCCGGCAGCCATCCTAGGGCCTACCTGCACACTACTCACTGGTACAAACACACCATCACTGAGCGAGTATGTTAGTGCGCGCACGCACAGTAAGCCACGCCCCCTCCCCCCTCCAGCGACGGCATTGTTGTCTACAACAATCGGAGAACGGGGAATTCAGCTTTGGTAGGTTGGTAATCGGGTATTGTTCGGTTGCATATGAAGTTGTCGTGTATATCAAGGAATGGTAGGGATGACATGTTTAGATAAGTCGGATTAGAACATTATTATATCCAAACTAATTTAAAAGTCAATTAAATAGAATACATAATGTTCACTGTGTAGTCTAATTTTATTACTAACTGCACACAAAAATAAATAAAAACAACAACAAAGAATCAACTGATCAGCTGGATTAATTAAAACTTATTCAAATGGGACAGTCTTTGGGAAAGTAAAATACAGTGGATAAGTTGAAAGGCTAAAATAGCAGCAACATAAATTGAAATCGTAGTGCAGTATATTTTAACCTATTGATTTTAGAACTGTTTTAACTGAATAAATCTGTATGCTATTGCATGTTGTTGCAATTGTTGTACATGTTGTTGTGCCAACAGATTCAAGAGTAGACATGGTCTCCAGTCCGTGGTAAAACATGTCCTAAAATAACAGAAACACCTTAATGAATCCCACATCAGAATAATCTTCAAATTTTATAAGACAATACATTTTTTTTGTTATTACCAAAAGTAATTTTCCAGTGCGCTCTCAAGTGCTATATGTAAAAAGCAAAACCGTAAAAGAACAATTGGAGCAGGTGCTGGGAAATCACTTTCGGTACAAGTAATGAACGATACTTTTCATCGTCGGTCAACACAAAAATACTCATATACAGAATAACAAACCTCAGTAAAATAAAAACTGGTATATTTTCCTAATTGACATTATTTTAGTGTAAAAACAAAGGCAAAAAGGTCATGGCAAACCTACATCAAAAAGTACTGTAGTTTAAGTTGTGCAGCTACACAAACTTCAAGCTAAAACAGCAAACTGATCTATACATATTTATGTGTGTATTATTGAACAATAAAAACAGCTGATTTCAATAATAGAAATTAATTGTAAACAAAAATTGGCATAGTGGGTATATGGAGAACTGATTGAGAGCAAGGGAAAATCATTTTAGAAAAAGAAAAAATTTGCTGATGGGGTTTCTTTTGCTCTAAATTGGAACTTGGAAAATGGAGAACTGATTGTGAGCAAGGAAGTAAATTTAGAGAGGAAAAAATGCTGTACTTTCTTTGATCAGCATTTATAAAAAACAGCTATTTTCTGTACACAAAAAACATACAGGGAGCTATTCAATATTAATTATCTCTATGTTTGTTTATTTCAGGTACCTGATACCAATGAATACACAAACTATAGTTTGTGTATTCATTGCTGATACTAAGGAGCGAAAACATTTGTTATAGTTTTATTAATTAAACATCTATCTATATATATAATACGCTAAGCCAATTTTTGTGAACAGAACTCCTCCCACATTTTTGGACCGATTTTGATGATTAAAGTGTCAAAAAAATTGCCCTGATCTGTAGTTTTGCAAAGTGTTTTTGGTTTTTTGAAATCTTTATTAGTTTGGGCAGGATCTTCCATCAAAGTTGGGTTTTCTCTCATAAGATTAACATGGGGAAATCTAAATATTTCATTGGAAACTTTGTCTCCTCTAATTTGAGAGAACGGCTGGGCGTAGAAACTTGGTAGAGGTCTCCAAAGAAAGGCCTTGGTCTGTAGATGAGTTATCAAAAGAAACACGAAGTAAATTCCCTTAGGGCTCTGCCCCAGAAGCCTTTAAAAATACCTCGACAAATTTGTTTACATTTCGGCCATGTGGATAATACTTTTTAATGAAACAGCTGTTGATTTTTCAATTGTGTTTTAAACAACACACATTTATCAGGAGTTACTAAATTGTCCAAAAGAAGTATTTGCAATGCTATTTTATGATTTTAAAACGTATTTTCTTCTGTATCATGTCATGTTTTGCAATATAATATTCCATTACGAAATCAGTGGAAATTCCTTTTATCACAGAACTCTTACAATAATTCCTTATTGAACTATCTTATATCTGCTGTACGGGTTGTTGTCTGCCTGTTCCCCCACTTTTGCCTATATTTTATCATATTATTCTACATATCATCATAGGTTCACGAGATTTGTTATACATGTTTTCAATCATTGTAAAAATCTTTGATTGTGTAATACAATACCAAATTATACAAGTGCAGAAGGGCACGGTGCCCATTTGAGCAGTGTCCACATTCTGCTAAATTAATAGTAGTTTACAGCAACTGGATAAAACATGTTACAATATTTATGTAGAAATATGTGCATAATTTAGAAAGTCAAAACTGCAATTTACTATAGACTTTTCAGAGAGGTTACTTCGATGTTGTTAATTCAGCTTAGTGAAAACATAATATAGAAGTATACAAATAAGAATTTGAACTCTTAGAGAACCTTTGAATGTTATTAGAATAACGAAATGGGTTGCGCATGTTTACTAACGCTACTCAGCAACAAAAACCATTTAATTTATCTCAAAAAATATATTCTTAAAGCGCACTGAGCAGCAGCCTCGAAAATACTATGCAACTTACCGGTACCTATATAGTTACAAAATGATCAAACTCACATTGTGACATTTATAATTCGGCTTATATTTCTCCAGCAGATTATTTATCTGCAGAAGAAGTTTATTGTGCTCTTATCGTGTGTAATAACATCCAAACACAGAAACCTGGCCTAAAATGGTACCTATCTTGACATATTATTTAAAGTGGTCTAAATTACGGACCGTGGCTCACTGGGTTGTTAACATGATTTAAAATAACACAACATTTTGGCTGTAAAAAAGGCACAAAGAGTAAATACTATTTAAGCAGCTACTGTCATGACAGAAACGTCATATTCCTTTTAAACTAGATCAGATCACCCTTTATAAGATACGTTGTTTAACAATGCATGTAAGCGTCAATATTTACGTAACAGCCAATTTATATTATTTATTGCTTTTTCCAAATGCCGCATTGTTATGTAATTTGAATTATTTGTTGCCAATGAAGCCGCACAACCATATAAACGAGGAGGTCCCTAACAGTTCAAGAGTAAAAGCCAACTTCACTTCAAGTATATTCCACTACACCTAACTTTCCGTAGATGAATAATTAGCGTTAAGCCTTGACAGTGACCGTCGATTTTGACGGGTTTCACCTAGTTTTTTTATATTTCAATTTGGAGTGTAGGATGTGTTTGAATTTCCTATTGACGCTAACAGTTCCCCATTCCCTAACTAATATGAGGACAAGCCTCTAATTTTGACTCAAATGTGAGTGAAATTTGTGGTACAGAATCAAGTGACCTTTGTGGATTTGTTACTTTAGCCAGGATCATTAAAGCCCAATAAAACAAACAATTGGACAGCTGGGTTCAGTTTCCTTACCACCAAAAAGTGCTTGCTTTTTCTCAGGATTGAACTAGCAACCTTTAATTAATTATTAGGCAATCAGGAACACCATTCAGATATCCATATTTATGTTAATGGTGGATAAAACAGAATTGTATATTACAGACTGAACTTCAAAAGTGAGTAATTGGTTTGGAATCTGAACTTATGATTTGTATGAATATTGAGCAATTTTAAAACTATCCGTAGGTAATGAAATAAATGTATGTATTCTTAATCAGAAATCACTTTATTTTAACAAAACTACAATTTTTTCTTTATAAATTGATAAGAATAATACATTTTTATCACAGGATCTATTGTACAACAGTCTACAAATTACATTTATTACATATTAAGATTATTTTTAATTTTTACATAATATTTGTGTTTGAATTGAAAATTATTGAGCGAAAAATCAAAAAGTAAAAATATGTGAATGAATAGCAAAGATTGGCAAAATACAGAGACTAATTTAAACCAATTCATAATTTAGTTGTAAAAGAAAAAAGAGTGTAATATTTGAAACTAAAAAAAAATGTAATACATTTCTATAACATAGGATACTCGATGAAAAGTATTTACAAAATAAAATACAATATTTTATATTGAACAAGGTATTTACATGACTTAATATACACTGTAAAATCCTAATTCAAACTTGTCTTTGACATTGAATTATCAACTTTGATAACTGTTTACAAATAACATAACTGATGAGTTGTGAGTATAAAACAAGAATATCAACGTAAATCATAAAAACCCAAAATAACAAAAAAGAAATTGGTAGACCTAAAACAGTTGTAAATATAAACACCACAATTACTGTAAATAATATTAATTTTATGATCCAAAACTTTCATGTAAATTAAAAACGATGAAATTAAAAGTTGTAATCATTAGATATATTCCGTCTTGAACTAATTCAATAATCGACAATCATTTAACCACATGGGAAAAATATCAAAGAAAATGATTGACAGTTTTTACGATCACTTCAAAACCGACTTTGACGGGCTGTCTTAAACTTGGCAGCAAATTACAAGTATGAAACAAAATGTCCAAGGTTTGAATCCATCAGCCTTTCCTCGTTCTCGTGGTAAGTTTGAACAGTAAACCGTTCATTCCACAAGATCCACAATTGAGTCACTCTCCACAATATTCACCTCCTGCTATGTAGCGTTATCTGGTCTGTTCGGTGTGAGGAAAAGACCATCCAGTGAGTCTTGCAGCGCTCGCATACAAGCGTACTTGGCTGTGAACCCCCCGGCTCGCTGGTCTAAAGTTTCCGCACGGGTGTTATCGATAAAACCTGATTCTAAATCACTCCACAAAGGTAAACTCGGTCCCTCAATGGTCAATTTGAGGGGAGTGTACACGTAAGGAGGTGCTTCTTCCATCCGAGGAATAGGTGCGTACCCGGTATTGTGTCTACTAAACTTAATACCTGTGGAGAATTGACTAGCTTTGGGCAACTGAGGTTTATTCTCGTCTTCTTTTGCAGCGAGACTGTTTTGAGCGAAAGTGCTCAGAATGTGTTTGGCATCGGCGTTTGAAAACATTAATTCGTCAATCAAAGCTTCCTTCTCTTTGATTTTCTTCTTTTTCAGTTCCTGCTCCTCTTTGATGAGTTCTCTTTTCCTCAGCTCGTCGACATGTTTCTCTTCCTCAAGCAGTTCTTCCAGCTCCAATTCTTCTTTGCCTATTTTTATTTTATTTTTCAATATAATATCTCTATTGTCTTTTTTATACTGATCTATCTTTCGGTTCATTTCCTGCACATTCTGGTTGTTGACTAGATTATAGATTATAGTTTCGATCTCCTCGAGGTAGTCGTTATATTCTCTGAGTGTAGCAAAATCATCTTCCTTTTTGTTGTAGTCTCTGAGAACTCGTTTGCGTATTTCTACCTCTTTTTCGACTCCTGAATCTTCAAATAATTGGATTCGGAAGTTGCTCCGCTTGAGAGGTATGTTACATTCAGGACAGCTTCCAGAACCTGTAAAACATTTAACAGAAGTTTGAATCGAGATATATAGAAAATACATCTTTCACGAGAATTTTGAAGCTTACATAAGTTTTAACCATACCTTTTACCTGACCTACTCATCAAACTGACTCCGTTCATGCCAGCTGACTGTCTAAACGGGAATGTATTCAGGCAAAAAACTACATTGCTGTGTTTACAGAGTAAGGACAACACAGTAAAAAAATCTTTTTCGTTACGAACGTCTGTCTGTCTATGTCCAACAGAAAACATGACAACCAGGGTTGCAACCTTAGGTTAGGGAAAAATCGGGACATGGCCCCCCTCCCCCCGTATTAACATAGGCTTAAGTGCAGGCATAAGGAACCGAAATTGAATTGTCCCAGCAGAATCGGGACGAGTAGCAACCCTGAAGTCAACCCAACTTGCAGCAAACCTGCTTTCTAAAAAATATCCAGTTGCTTCAGTAGTTTTTATTTTAATTAAAGAGGTCCAAAATTAAAATGAAATTCTAACTTATACCAAGGCCACACTAAAAAAACAGGCCGTAATGCTCGTCAAGCATGACGTCACGATAGAAGACGGCAATGACGTAATTAAGGTTATATTTTTGTTTTCCATGAAAAGATTAAAACAAGCAGCTGATCACAAACGGCAAAAATACGTCATTGCCGTCTTCTATCGTGACGTCATGCTAGACGAGCATTACGGCCTGTTTTTTTAGTGTGGCCTTGCTTATACCCACTTATCTGAATACTCTCCTCAAACAGTGAGGGTAGCTGCTACACTAAAATATCAAGCAAATGGGATTTTAATATAATTTTGAATTATTACTAATTACTATGAAACAAAGATATTAGCCGAATTTAATCAAGATAGGCACCCTTAATCAAGCAATCCACAGTGATTCAGTTAGGAAATTGAATATCTTGATAACCAAAAGGTATAAAAAAATAGTAGTGTAATGTATACCACCATGCTTATCCAAACCACCTATTGAGGAAAAAGGTTGCAGTACATTTCAATTTAAAAAAAAGGGTTAGACTTTCATAAGCGGTATCTCAAACAACCTAATTAAAATAGAACTTAAATATATCCATACATCAATCGCTTTAAGTGTTTTGATGTTTCAATATTTTCTATTGTAATAATAATAATAATAAAAAAACTAACAAAAAAACTTGAATATATTTACATTCACATTCCTGGATACAATGCCTATGTTGCATTAACAAAATGCATGAAAGAATCCTGTTTACCCATTTTAACATCTTTTCTACAAGATATTCACACAGGTGCTCTGCCAAATAGTCGAACCGGATGCCCGTCTTTAGCGATTGCTTGACAGACTGCAATGAACTCTCTATTGTTTGGGTGTTAGCGCCGGTTAACAGATCTAAGAAATTCTTACTATGGTTGACGTTAAAGTGTATGGAACCTTTATCAGTCTGACCAAAGTAGGACTTCCATAGATCTGTTACAGTAATCGTTTCCAGGAGTATATGCTTCATTATCAGGGGAATAATTGATACGGCATCGCTTTTTTGGTCCGGACAAAACTCCAGTAATTTTAGTATTTTGTGAAGATTGTTAACTTTGACTCCCCTTGATGTCCTTAAATTATCCCTTTCAGATTTTTTTTTTAATTTTTAATTTTTTTTTAATTACCGGTATCAGTTTGGTTTGGGAATCAATTCCAGTTTTTGTAGGTATTTCGACTAAGATCGTCTTTTAAACTAATTTCATTTGATTTCCAAAAGTTGAACGACATTTTGGAAACAAAATAATAGGCTAATTGTTTATTTTATAAATATTCATCTATAGGTTTAACACAAACGTTTTATTCACATAACTATGTTTCAAGATCACTTTATAGTAACTAATATTTATTGATTACTTATATAGAAATGGCGATTTATATATCGATATATTTAAGCCCTTTTAAACTCCCCTTGTCTCTTTAAATATGAACTTTAGGGTGGTTTTTAAGGCTAAAAGAGATTTTCAGTACCGGTAACCCAAGTGATGGAATTAGGCCCAAAGAAGTTTTTAACTTATTCAGCACATTCCCTGTACCTAAGTTTAAGGTAAGGACGGTATGTGAGTATATCTTCTTAGTTCCTGTGTACCTTCACTGCTCACTGGCATCATTTGTGAACAGAGTAGTGCCATTTGCTGATAAGTAGGCCTACTCTTTGCTGTGTGCTGTGTGTCTAAAAAATCTTTTAAATTATTTAATCTCCCACTACTAGCAAGATAAGCTCAGTGATATGTTTTTGACTAAAAGAAACATAACGGCTACAGAGATTAATCGCCAGATGACTGAAGATTAGGGTCCTAATGCAATAACAGAAGGTGAATGCAGAAATAGATAAACTTAAGGGAGTTAAAGTGTCCACAAAAATGTCCATTTAGAAGGAATTATGTTTTTCTGGTGAAAAGCCAGACTTCTGACAGAAGATTACAAAGAAAAAAGGTTTACACAATCATTTTTACACAAACTCATTTCTGCACTACACCTTCACTCAATGCATTAGGGTCATAACATTCAGTCATCCAAAAATTAATGGATAGGTAACTTTTAAGGTTCTTGTGGTATGACGTTAGTAAGTGGCAAGCCACCTTGTTGTGGTGTACACATGAACTACGGAGCTGTACGTAAAAATGGCTCTAGCTTCAAGACTCCCCTTGTAGTAATGATTAAAAATACCATAATATGGATCGTAAGGCCTATTCAGATTATAATTTATAACCGTTGTAGGGTGATTACTTACCTTTCAAGAACAGGAGATCCACGCAGCTTTCACATAGAGCATGGCCGCACGAGTTTACCATCAGTTTCAGAGAAGGATTGCGATATTTGGTAGTTTTGCATCTTGGACAGACCTGGTCATCCATTCTAGAAACAAACAATTGAGACTCAGTAAGTTAACTAAGTTAAGTTAGAGTTAGGCTACCGGTATGTCAAAATTTTCAATTAAATAACTTAAGTTAGACCTAACTTAAGCCTAAACTTATTGTAGGCTATGTAACTTAGCCTAAGTTAAGAAAAAATGGTGCAATTAATATTGCAATTCAATTGACAATAACTTATTGCTGGAATTAAGTTCAACTTGAGCCAGCCTATTTCACACTAGGCTACCTACGCTAAATTGTTAGTCATAACTTAGCGCTAGCTTGATAAGGTTAAAAATTTGACTGATTGAAAATAACGATAGGCCCCTACCTAGTTTAAAACTTGATACTGTTAACTTAAGCCTAATACTGTTCTATGAAATTGCGACCATACAAAGTAGGTATTTTAAGCCAAAAATGTAGGCCTAAGTCACAATAGAAATGATAGGGTCGGATAACTAAGTTATGGGGCATGTTAGTCTAATGTGAAACCTAGCCTAGTGTTGATTGGTAAGTGCAAGGTAGGACTAGGCCTAGTAACTAATAAGGGGGACAGGTTTAAAAAAGGGGTCTGCACTTAGGCTATAAAGAAATAATTTAACTTAGGCTATGTATTTGGCCAAACTTTCAACATTAGACTCAACAATGTATGTAGGCCTATGTGCCTCTTAGTGTACCGGTAATTACTAATGTGGATTAACTTATATGAATAAGCCTATATGAAAAGTAAAAGCCGTTGGTTCAGAATAGTTGTTTATGACATAAAAATTATATAAGAAGTATCCAACCTTATTAACCTGTAACTTAGGGCCTATTATAACCTGACGATTTAGGCCTAGTAATGCATTGCAATTGCGAAGATAAAACTTACTTGATATCAGTGGTGATTACGAGCCTGTAAGAATAAAATCACTGAAGGCTTCAAAAAATATGCTAACTTAATGTTTTTTAGTTAAAAAATTCAATCTTAAATGCATAATTATACATGTTCATAATAATTCCATAACAAACAAAACAATTATGGTTCGAATCTAAACAACATATTTTTTTTTTTTTTTCTTTCTTATTCTGAGCTCTTAAGGCTCAAGGCTTGGATAATTGCTCCACGCAGCCTGTTCGATGTCTAATGTTAACTATTACTCACTGAATCCTTCTGTGGTTGTCTTTGGGCATTTGACACTTTCTGTAACAAAGGTTAGGTTATGTTAGTTACACAGTTTACATTAATGTTGTTATTATTTTGATTGTTATGTTTCTTTTTTTTGTTACGGAGCACACAATGGTTTTTTGAGGTTTGTTACGTTATTTTTTTTTTCATAGATGTGTAAAACAGATAGGAAATCTAGGGTTCCTGGGATTTTGGGAAGGGAGAGAAGGTATCTTCTTCGCCTGGGGCCCGTCAGGCTTGCCTAACCCAGAAATGGGGAGGGGGGCCACGGATGAAGAATCCCAAGAATGGACAACATAAATGTGACAATTATGTACAGTTGGTGTTTGGAAGGTTTCTTGTTTCTTTAAAGTCTCTTATTTATTTCTTTCAAATATATGTTAATTTCCTTATAAATTTTGTCGTTTTTGGAGCTGAGTGCTGCTGCAAGGTTAGTCTTATACTCTTTGTAGATTTCTTTTAGACAAGATTTCCTGAAGACTTCATAGCTTGGGCATTCCCAAAATAGATGCTGGAGAGTTTCTTCTTGGCCTAACGTGCATCGAAGGCAAAGTGGTGTAAAATACATGTTCTTAGAGTGTAAATGTTTGTTGAAGTTGGCATGACCTAGTCTGAGTTTGCAAATGTTGATTATTTCGTTTCGCTGTAATTTGGATTCATAGAACCATGGTCTTTTGGGAATTTCCTTTTGAATTATCTTGTGCCACTGGGCTTTGGCTGAGAACAAAATTGTATTGCTGTAAACTTCTCTATGTCTTTTCTTCCTGTACGATTTGAAGTCATTGAAAGGAACGTGTACATCCGTAACAGATTCCCCATCATTAGCTGCCCGTTTAGCCAATTGATCAGCCATCTCATTATTTTGAATGCCTATGTGACTAGGTACCCAGTGGAGTACATAGCGTTTTGGGCTTTGCTGGGCTTTGGAGATAATTTTGTAGATAATATCATCACTTGTTCTGGAGTGTTTATAGTTTTCAATTGCTGAAATAGCTGATTGAGAGTCAGAGAAAATAATAATATTTTGGTTTTGCAATGTCTCACTGAAGACAATGCTTTTATATATGGCATATAATTCGGCAGAATAATTTGACATGATGTTATTCAATTTGTACGTGTAGCTCGTGAGTAGTTGCGGGATGTAGAAGGCTGCGCCAACTGTGGATGCTGTTTTTGATCGGCCGCGATGGGGGGAGGACTCGTAGTAGGACGATGACGTCATTAATTAGTTCAAATTTGCTCCACAAGTGGCGCGCCAGACGGACCCGGGATGGAATGGGCACACGGGAGGGACTAAGGCTAAAGGTGTAGTGACGTCATATCTCTTGAGGCAACACGATTAGCGTAACGAACCGATGCGATTTCAGCGGCGTTCGTGGCATAATTGGTAGCGTTTCGGATTGGTGTTCAGGAGGTCCCGGGTTCGAATCTCACTGGCGGCACCAACTTTTTGTCAACAAATGTTTCATATCAGCAAGTTTGGTTGGTTAGGTTAGGTTATGACAGTTTAATTTTATAATACTAAATTTTAAAATTAATTTTATAAAATAAAAATTATAAGTAATCATTAGTTAGATTTTTATCTTGTATAGTTTTTATATTATCAGCAAGTCTGTTTGGTTAGGTTATGTTATGACAGTTTAATTTTAAAAATTAAAAATTTATTTTATAATTTTAAAACAATATTTTATAATTAAAAAGTTATTTTTATAACTAAAAATAAAAAAAAAATTATTAAAATTAGCAGTTCTAGCGGCGAACGCTGACACTACAAGATATGTTAGCCTTAGTCCCTCCCGTGTGCCCCACCGGACCCGGGATGAAGATGATGACGTCACCGTTTCTCGCGACTCGCGAGCGGAGAGAGCAGGCGTAATCAAATTCGTTTGCTACTTGATTTGTCAACTGTTGAGTTAGGTTAGGTTAAGAAGCATTAATTTACTTGCAATAAGGTTTTTTGTAATAATTAGGCCTACAGTTTGATTAATTAAGTTAAGTGGATGTTAGAACGTCAGTTTAACTCTTGAGAGTAATTAAGTGAACATAATTTATCGATGTAAATTAATTTAATAAGTTAAGTTAGCTCTTAAACTCAAGTAAGTTAGGCCTTAAAACTATTTTAACTGTGGGTGTGGGACATTTACATTAGTGAAGATATGACACTGTGACAAAACACCCTTAAATTTTAAATGATGTATGCATAACTTAGGGCCTAACGATTTCATTTCAATAACATCCAGTCAGTAACTTTAGTTGGTTACACTTAGAGCTATCCCAATTAATTTTGATAACTACTTGGCTGTAACCAGTAAAATAAAAAAACTAGGTTAACATTAAAAAACAAGCTCGAAGCCTTTGAATTAAGGCTATCTAACTTAGGCCTAGCTTATTCATTTGAGTTGTTAACAAATCAGTCGATAGATAAATCTAAAAACCTTGCCTACTTGGTCAGAATTGATCTGAAACTAAGATGCCAGATATAGTCTGTAGAAATACTGTAAGTTAGCATCTAATGTTCTAATAAAAAGCAAGCCTCGACTTGAAAACTAGGTTTGCTTTTATAGCAGTGAAAACCAGTTGAGTGTAGCAATCATGTTTCATGGTTTTTAATGAAACAATAAATATAAAAAAATGTTTATGGATATAATACAAAATACAAATGTTCCCACACACTGCACTGCTAGCCTTTACTACTTCCTTCAGCTCTTCCTACGTCGTGGACCTGTTTCCCTTCCTTCCCATGGCATTTTAGGATAGCCGATTCATTAATCTTAATGCCACAAACGGTTCCCACACTCAGCACCTTTACTACTTCCTTCACCACTTCCTACGTCGTGGACCTTCTCCCTTCCTTCCATGACCTTAATGTAACTGCCACAAACGGTTCCCACTCTGCACTGCTAGCCTTCACTACTTCCTTTTCCCCTTCCTACCTCGTGGACCTAATTCCCTCTTCCCTCCCTTCCCATAGCATTTTAGGATTGCCGATACATTAGTCTAACCAGGGCAGGGTTAAGGGTCAGTGAAATTCTGGTCAAACCCAAAAGCAGCGCCCCCTTTTTTCCTAGTGCGGGCGGGCGGTGGTTGGGGGGCACCCCTAAACCTCCGGTGCCCCTGGGCATATGCGCAGTCTGCCCGTTTATAAAAGTGGGCCTGAATCTAACTGACACAAAGGGTTCCCACACTCTGCACTACAATAGGTTGGTGTGTTGCTACAGAAAATAAAATGAGTGTTTTTTATTCAAATCTTGAACGCTTAATATGAAATAAACAAATTTGTCAAAACAAAAAAGTAAATCGGTTGGTGGTCTAGGTCTTATCAAGAGACCTGCGGTAACAGCTTATTCCCCATTTGGAAAATTCACTAAAATTAGGTGTAATGGCGGAGGCCGTATTAAATAAAAATAAGTAGTTTTTTAAACGATAAATACTTACCTTATACCATTGTCTATTGGATAATAGTCAAAGCTTATACCTAAATATTGAGAACTCACAGTACCTAAAATGTGCTGTGGTCAGGGAAATTAACAGAATTCTGTCAGGGAATTCTGTTAATACACTCACGTCACTTAAGATATTTTTGTGGGAACCCAGTTCAAATACCTTGGGAATTACTGGTAAAAGACTTAGGTCGGTATGATTTTACCTGTTCAAAGAGGCTTCCCAGGATTTGGGATGACAATTGATTGTACCCTTTTGAAATGAGCTGGTACATATTCCAGTCTTAACATTGTATTAAATAACATGGTAAAAACTTAATTCCTTTTTGTGGAAGCTCTATAAATATTTTGCCAGTTATGAGGTTGTAACCAGGAGCCTTGTCAGAATGAAGATCGTTGACGATGATTGATTTCACCTACGATGATATTTACTTCTGCAATGAGAAGTCAAGTTGTAATGGAGACTACAAATACTCAAATATCTCTTCCTCGTTGTTTACTTCTGCATTTGATTTGAACACATCCTCAAAGTATTGAGCAAAGGCTTCTCTGTGTTACATTTGGCCCAGGCAATTAGACTTTTAAAAAAAAGTTAATTTAAAGCTTAGGTCGTTTCATAACTCACCAGGAAATGCAGGCTCCCCCGGTGAAACAAGACGTCGCGAAATCTGCCAACTTACCAATATGGGAGCCGTGTTCGCGACTGGAATGCTATCCACCCCTTAGCAAAATATGATGCTATGTAATAGTAATTTTTAATTTGGGTAATCCGTTTGATATTAGAACAGTTTGACAACGAAACTTGTGTTTCCGTGACTGGAAAACTCTCCCCCCTCCCGATCTCTGATGTCAACATGACGTAGGAACCTGCTTGGGGGGGGGGGGGGTAGTTGTCCGGGGGACAGTCTTCCGGTGACCCACTCCCCATAGTGAATAATCTTAGGCTTCGTCATAGGTGATAGAGATCGGGTACTTCTCACTGATGTACTTCTCATACCAGTGATTATTGATATTATATAACAACCGCTTTAAATGTTAAGATGACCTATTAAAATGTTTATCAATTGGATTCCTGCTATTTTGCCAGATTCTTCTCAAAATATATCCATAAGCATTAAGCAATCAAACTACGTAAAACAGTTTAGGCTACTTACAGTATCCTCCAAAAGATTAAAAAGGAAATTTTGAATTTTTTTTTTCTCCGTTACCAATAATTGTACAAACACTTTAATGTACTAAATTATTTTTATATTTTTAAGCTATTCAAAATGGTTTAGAGAAGAATTGGGAATTTTTATGTTTTGAGGGTCAAAAATTAGAAAAACCCCATAACACCCTGTTCCCATAGTCTGATCGTGCTGGTTCGGGAACTCATTCAAGTTTATCCTGCCCTACACCTTCAAGCCAAATTTCATCAAAACCAGACAAAATGACTTGAGTTATCACGTTCACGGACACATATATAGTTGTTATATATATATAACAATTTGAATGAATAGTTTTTTTGGCCTCTAAGGACATCAAAATGAAAAAGTATATCAGTCCCGGGTCTAGGTCTGATCGTGCCACCTACAGTGATAGTTAATTCTCTTAATACATTCGATATGCTTGATAGGGTCACATAAATATATCTTAAGACTAATATTTTCTCACTACTTAAACCAAAAATAGCAATATAGGCCTACCTTGGACAAATTGTAAATATTAATCAATTGAAACAAAAGAGTTGTTGAAATATAGTTTTATTTATAAAACACACATATTTATTTTCCAAAGCTAGCTTTTAAAATTTAGGTGTTAATTTTGTAAAGTAAAATAATAAATTGTTAAATTAAAAATAACTATTCTTGGTCTTTGTTTCCAAGTGTTGGGTGTTGCTTGGCTCCAGTACCAGGAATATTGTCCCATTTGTTCCTAAAAAAAATTGAAAAACTATAGTACAATATGGCAATGTACATTGTTGTAACAATATTTTTGGTCTGTAGACTGGCATAGATTTAAAACATTGACAAATTGATCGGCTGTTGGCAAAATATTTTTCCTACAGTTACCTAACAATGTGCATGTTCTCTCACTGATTTTAGAAAGCAAAGTGGCCAATTCGCTCATCAGTGAGACAATGTTAACATTGTCTCACTCTAATTACTTTGTCTCAATCACTCCAGATTTGCAACGTGAAGGCACGAAATAGTGAGCGTGTAACATGCAGACAAGGTCGTATGCGCGCAATATACGTTGGCAGCA